GGCGGGGCTGGGAGCTTCCTTTTGCCACTGACACATCTGGTTCTCACCCCCCACCCCCATCTTTGCTCCGAAAACCCCGGGGGGGGGGGCACAGAAAACTGGGACAGAGCTGCAACAGCAGATGCTAATCAGAATCATCCGAACGGCCCAAGGGGCAGGTTCCCTTGAGTCATGGGTGGGGGAGGGCTGCAGGGAAGGGGCTCCCTGCAGAGGCAGAGGGGTCGGGAGAGACCCACTCTGCAAACTGTGTCCTCTTGGGCCACCTGGGTCGAGCCCTGACCTGATGTCTCCTGGTGCCTCCTCATTTCACTTCCAGACAGGGCCCTGCTGCCCTCTGGTGAGCGGGGACACCCAGGCCTTGCAGGCTGCTCAGAAGGAGACCACAAAGGGAGTGGCCACTGCATGCAGCAAGTGCCCATCACTGGGGCCGCTGGGGGCGTTTGCACCTCCTCCCTCCCGTTGTTGCATTGTGAGCGGAGGCTGTGCTCGTGGCTGAGTGCTCAGAGAGGCATGCTGGTGGCACCAGGGACCCTCACAGCAGTGCCGCCGGAGCTCGCTCAGCCTGGCAGGGGAGGTGGGGGAGTCCTGGGACCAGCTTTGGTCTCATGCCCGCCTGGGGCGCTGTCCCCCTCTCCCCTGCTGACATCCGAGTGTGTGCGCCGCAGAACCGGAGCTTGGCCTCGGCTGGTGTCTGAGCCAGAATCAGGGAATCTGGGATCACGCTGATCTCGACCATCCGCCGCGTTAGCCTAGTGTCACTGAGGTGGCAGCAACTGTGGCTTCGGCTTATGGCCACGTGACCGTGGCAGTTAATTATCACTTCCCAGCAGGCACCCGGCATCCCTCTATCACTCCCACTGTCACCTCTATTATTACTGCACATGTGATCCTGGCCACACACAGCCGCTGTCCGGTCCCTCCATGCACGGTCACCGCTGTCTGACCTGACCATGGCCCCTCCCCCACCCCCATCTATAATATCACCTGTTCTCCCCCCCCTCCCATTTTCCCTCTCCTCTCACACCCCGTCTGCTTCTGCTACTGCCCGGTCACTCCTCTCGATCTCCCTGGAAAAGGAGAATGAATCCTCCTGGCCCCTTGCCTGCCTCCCCCCACCCACCCCCTGCTCAGTGCTCACTTAGGGAAGTTGTGCTGGTTGTTGAGAGTGGGGGTGGGTCGGAAAGGGAACTGAGACCAGGAGAAGCAGAGGAGGGGCAGGAGGGGAACGGAGCGGGGCTGGGGGCCTCTCCGGCCTCAGTTCCTCACTGGACACTGCCAGTTTCGCCCCTGCCCCCTGCCCCTGCCGTTCCTACCCCGCTCCAGCTCCCAAGGGCCTTAGCACCTGCCCTTCTTTTTTTCGATGGCTGGAAAGCGCCTGTTTATCCTCCAACGCACAGGCGTTTCCTGCCAGTGGAACCCAAACAGCTCTGGCTCCATCCTGTCCTGCCCCCACCCGTGTCTCCTGTTACACGTACATCAGATAGTAGGGTCTTGTGGCCGAGACCCCAACAGGCCAGGTGGGGGTTTATCCATGGGGGCTGGAGGCCTCAGGTGCCCCCTGACAGTGCCACCCAGAAGTGGTGGTTTACAGAGCCCATAGCAAGCCCACGAGGATGGGCGGTCACCATCCCCATTTCCCAGGTAGAAAGACTGAGGCTCAGAGGGAGCAGTCACCTGCTTAAGGACACAGAGCTGGGAATGGGCTGGACACCCTCCCCGGCAGAGGAGCGAAGGTAGTGGGGGGTTAAGCAGGGGCTGAGGGCTGTGTGTGTGTGTGAGGCATGCAGGAGACAATGTTTTTATCCCACTTCCCCTTAGGGAGAGGGGAAGCCTGGGAAATCTGGGTTTTGGGGACTCCCCAAGGGTATACTATAGCGAGGCCAAATAATTTGCAGGGGTAGTAAATAGGTTGGGGGGCAGCGAGGGTCTGGGGCGCTGTTCTGGGGCACGGAGCAGAGCCCCAGGCTGCCCTGTGGATGACATTTGCAGGAGCTCAGTTGTCCCAGAGTTTCCTCTGGCAAATGGGGGTGACTCTCCCCGTTGACCAGAGGCGACAGGCAGACCAGGAGCCTCTCTGGCAGCTGAGGGAGCCCTGAGTGTTGGGGAGAGTTAAGGGGTCCCCTAAAGGTGCGAGCTCGCGCTCTGTGGCCTGGCTCTGCCGCCCTGGGCTGGTTCTCTGCTCGGTGGGCCTCGGGCTCTCGGGACAGAGCCTCAGGGCCCCTGCGGAGGCAGGAGGGGAGCTGGGTGGAGGGGAGCCTGGCTTTGGAGGCAGGACTCATTTGTTTTATTTTTACCCACAAAACAAAAAATCCGTTTGGGGCGCTGCATGACTGCAGGGCCTGGGGGAGACAGGTGCTCTCTCTGAAGCTCTCAGCCCTGACATGGAAGTGGGGGGGTGGGCAAGGCGGAAGGCCCCATCGAGGGCCAGGCGACACAGGGGAGAGAATCAGAGACGGGCCCAGGGACTGTTCTGGGCTCCAAATGCTGCAACACAGCCTCAGTTGGCCAGGGGGCCGTGGGGGCCATGGGGGGCCGTGGGCAGCTGTGGGCAGCTGTGGACAAGCTCCCTGGGCAAGGAGCCTCCTCCCCTGGGCTGTGGCTCCAGAACAGAGTTAAGTGGACTTTCCCGGGGTGCCTGCCCTTCGGGAGTAGTGGGTGGGGAGGGCAGCAGGCCAGGAGGGGGCTGTGAGTTTGGGACCAGAGCTGAGGAGCCTTGGAGGGTGGGTTACACACTAGCAGAGGTTTGTAAAGCAAAGTGATGTGCAGGGGCCCCAGGGGAGCAATCTTAGCATTTGTACACATTACAGTCCTGTTCTTTAGTTCTGAGGCGAGTGTGTGCACATATGTGTGAGCACACACACACATGTGTGTGTGTGTGCATGCACAAGCATGTGTAATGTGTGTGCGGTGATGCTGATGACCATCCGGGACAGGAGCCTAGGAATAGAATTCAGAGGTAACACAGAAATGATAGAAGGTGCAGACTGATAATCTCTGGGCCTGTGGTGTGTGTGTGTGTGTGTGTGTGTGTGTGTGTGTGTGTGGTGGGGGGCTGGGTGGCGGCAAGCCAGGGCAGCTCTGGAAGTTGGACTCCAAGGCTCCTCTCTGCTTCCAAGTTGTGATGTCCCTGAGGGAGCCCCTTGGCTTCCCTGAGCTGAGAGAAGGAGGAATTCAGACCCACAGACAGGTTCTTCGCAGCGTGTAGCACTGTGTGACTCAGCCGTGCCCCAGAGCTTAGAGAACCCTGGGTACTGGGACCAGGCAGGTGACCCCACCGCCCTGACTCACATGTGTTTTACCTCTACCCCAGGGGGTGGGTGCTCACCTCACCTCTCCTAGCCAGACTAGCGGCCGCTCCCCTGCCCTGCTCTCTCTTTTCCTGCCATAGGAGCACCTGGGGGCATGGGGCAGGGGGCTTTAGCCTTCAGGGCCGCAGCAAGCAACTTGTCTTCCTGAGCACTGTTTGCTGTGGCTCAGTCACCGAGTCTGCCCTCTCACCGCACCTGGGGCCCTCTCTAAGCCTTCCTGGTGAATCCAGTCTGCTTGGGTCTCCCTGCGCCCTGCAGACGGGGGACAGCCAGCAGGCTCACGCAGCTCCTGCCCCCGCACTTTGCTCCAGACACTGCTCCCTGCCAGCCCCCACGTAAGCCCAGAGCAGATCAGGAGTGTGGCCCACTGCCAGGCCCCAAGCTCAGACAGTGCAAGGTATCCCTTCGCAAAGCCAGGGGCACCCCATTTGTTTATCCCAGGGGAAAAACTCAGAGAGGTGAAGTGACTTGGCCAAGGTTGCCAGCGGACCTGGGCTCAAGTACGTCTCTGGCTGAGTCTGGAGTCGGGAGTCCGGCTCTTCATCACTCTTCTCTGCTACCCCGTTCTGCCTCCCTGAACAGGATGTTAGTGTGGCAGGAAGACAGATGGAGACCTGCGTCGGAGCTAAAAAAACCACAGTGTCAGTGAGGAGGAAACAGATGGTGGGTGTCTGGCTGCCTGTCAGCTGAGCATGAGTTACGTGCAGGGACACCTAGAAAGTTGAGGATGAGGTCATATTAATAGAGGCAGGGCATCCATGACAAGGGAGGAGATACCTTCCATGAAGGTAAATAATCCCTGAAAAACAGTGTGCAGAAGACTGTACCTCTTGTGGTTGGAAACTTTTAAGCTGAGACTGCTTGATGCAGGATGGAGTGATTGGACAGTGGAAATGATCTCCAGGATCCTTTTAAATTGAAGTTTTGTGGCTTGACTTCATCTGTTTCCAGGACTTTCAGGCCCCCCCCCCCCCCCCACACACACACACACCTGCTCTTTCTCTACCAACCTAGCAAGGGCGCCCTGAGGAGACAGGGATCATCGGTTCATTCATTCGTTCACTACACAAACAGCTAAGTCAGGGAGGAGAGGCGCAGGCCCTCCAGCCTGGACCCCACAGGCAGTAACGCTGACCCTGAGCTTAGTGTGAGGACATGTGTGGAACAGAGACTTGAAGGGCTTATTCCCTCCAGTCACATTACAACCCTGAAGCTTTCCCTACTATCCCCATTTTACAGATGAGCAAGTGGAGGGGCCACGGGGGATACGGTTGACAGCACCTCTGGGTCCAATGCTCCCATTCCTGCATTGGTGGTTCCAAGAACAGGGATCATGTCATGTTCCGAGGCCGGAACAACAACCCTTCGATGCCTGGATATTTGAAGTTGTGAAATGGGGTGCAGAGGAGGGGCCCAGCCTTTGGCGAGGCCCTCCTTGCCTGCCGCCCGGTGTGTTTCTGAAGGCTCTCCTTGACCTCCCATTCATTCCTCGAGCACCGGACAGAAACTGCTGGAAGGATCCTTATTTCATGGCCCCGGCAGCTGAGCCAAAAGGACAAGCCGTCTCAGTGCCTGTGGCGGAGAGAGGAGGGAGAGGACGACGGGCTGAGCCCTGCACAGCTGCTGTCTGCGCAGGTCTCTGTGCGCTGTGCCAGCCACGAGCTAACTCTCGCTGTCTCTGTTCTGTCCCAGATCATGAGTGTGCTGCTGTTCATCGAGCACGCGTGGGAGGTGGCCCACGGCACGGCCTCCTGCAGGCTCTCTAAGACTAGCTACCTGCGCGTCGGTAGGTCCTGACTGATGCTCAGTGATGAGTGGGGGAGTGGGGAGCAACCCTGCTTGGGGCTGGGGGTCACCTGCTTCCCTTCTTTGATCCTCTGCCAGGGCAGATGTGCCACCTGCTGCCACCTGGTATGCAGAGCAGCGAGAGGGGCCACTGAGCAAACCTGTCCGACTTGGAAGGTGGCAGCGGGGACTCTTGTGCAGACTGCCAATAGCTGCCCATCTCCTGCCGCAGCCCTTCCTCTCACCAGCCCTGCTCACCCCTCCAGGGTCCTGCAGCTCCTGAGCTCCTGTCCACACAGGCTTGGTCTCTTCTGGGGTGCTGCCTGGACTCCTGGTCACTCACTCACCCACAGGCCACCTTCTCAGAGCCTTTTTTGACCTGCTAAAGCAGAGCTCAGTGTCCCAGCTGTGCCCCTACACGGCTGTAGCCAAAACTGTTGTGTTTGGGTCTTGGGACACCCCTTCTGGACTGAGAACAGCAGAGGGTGCAGCCTGAGTATGAGGACATTTGCTGCCATGGTCCCTGTCCCGGGGTTCCCAAGTGTGGTCCTGGGCTCCAGGCGGGTCCCTGGGAGCAGCCGTGGGCCCTCACAGCATCTCCTTGTCTTCCAGCCAACCTGGTGTCCAGCTTCCTGCTCATCGCCATGCTCTTCGTCATCAGCCTGAGTCTGCTGATGGGAGTGGTCAAGGTGAGGGTCTGAGCAGGGCCTGGGGCAGGGGCCCCCGAGCTGCCCAGATGCCTACTTGCTGGTCCTCCTCACAGGATTCCCGGGGTTGGGGAAGCAGTGCTTTAGGAGACCCCTAGGGAGATCTTCAGCCTGACCCTGGAGAGCCCTGATTCTACTCCGACTTTGTGGCTTGTGCAGGGGAGGAGGGTGGACACGGCCAGGTGCCCACTCACCTCTCCCCCGACCCCAGCAGGTCGGAGACTCACTTCCTTTTGGGCTGCAGGCAGAAGCAGGCGATTTCAACAGAGGAAGGAGGAGAAGTGGTCTGGGCAGGAGAAGGGGCTGGGTTCTGTTACCCAGGGCAGGAGTCAGAGTGGGGCGCGAGCATGGACACTCAGGTCCCCTCCACCCTCTCTGTGGGGCAAGGCTGTAGCCAAAAGAGGAAAGAGGAAAGCCCCCTTTGCTTGGCCCTGTGCCCTGGCTCTGTGCCCACCCCCACTGGACAGAAAACTAGTCAAGTGACAGTGACGGGGTGGGGGGTAGAGGTTGGGAAGGGGTCTGGACTCACAGGCGTCCGGCACTCAGAGTGATTCTAGGGGACCGCAGGAGAAACCATGAAGCCCCCTCCTATGAATCTGCCCTCTGCTCGGGTCTCGGACTCCATCACAGTGGTCACTTCCTCATAGCTAAGGGAGAGGGACTTCCGCCTGGCTTCCCGCCTCGGACATGACGAATGTCCTGCCTTTAGCAGGCATTTCCCAATGTCTGCCTTCAACACCCTCCTTTGCATCCTCCTAGCCTCTTTCCAGGCCTGCCTTGGTGGGGGGGGAAGTCCCACTACCAGAAAGTTCTCTCTGGCCAGGGACCACTTGCCCCCACAGCTATAGCCCAGTCTGCAGGGGTGTGGTGGTGGCATGCCCGGACCCCCTGACGGGCTGCTCTGCCTTGCAGAACCGGGAGAAGTACCTGCTGCCCTTCCTGTCGCTGCAAATCATGGACTACCTGCTGTGCCTGCTGACCCTGCTGGGCTCCTACATCGAGCTGCCCGCCTACTTCAGGTTCACCTCCCGCAGTGGCCGCATGGTGAGCACCCGCCCTGCATCAGCCACTGGCCATGCGTGGGCTGAACAGGGGAAACCCCTCAATCTTCCTTCCTCATTGGGGAGCAAGTCCCCGAGCCCCTCTACTACATATGTGTGTGTGCACACACAGACACACACATGTGCATGCATGCATGCTTGTTCTCACACACACACGTATGCACACACGTACACATGCACACATGCACATGCACATACACATACGTGTGCATGTGTACACACACACATTCACACACATACACACACTGCCAAGTCTCTGATGGAATCCTGTGGCTGCATTTCCTTGCAGTGCCACAACGGCTCTGCCCAGGGTCAGCCCCAGTGGGTGGGGACCTGACAGCCCTGGGAGGCTGGGGTGGTCCTTCTGGCCCCCACGCCTGCTCTATTCCTCCTTTGTAAGCAAGTTGAAGGCAGAAAGAGGAAGATGCAGAAAGTTCCTGGGCAGTGCTGCTGTGACGGGGGATTGGTGGGGGTGGGGGTGGGGGTGAAGATGAAGGCCGGAGCCAATTGCAGACGAGACTAACCCTCAAGTAGCTTTTCATTTCTTTTCTTTTTTATCGATTCAGATTCTGTGGTTTATAGCACTATTAATAATGGTTTTTCGTGCACATAAGTCCAATACCATGGCCGCAACACTGCCATCATATGGGCAGGGGAGCTAGGTCACAGAGGGCCGAGCTGAGTGGCGAGACACCCCCCTCTGTCGAGGCTGGTCTCATCAGAATGTCTGGCATCCACCTCTCACTGGGGGTGGACTGAAGCGATGCTGGCCTCTGGCTGTGACAGTCTATCTAGCAGTAGGTCCCTGAGGAAGAGGCCCCGGTGGTTTCTGATGGCTGGTTTCTCTTCCTCCTCATCTGTCCTCTGCAGGGCCCCTCCAAGGTCCCCCTGATGACCCTGCAGCTGCTGGACTTCTGCCTGAGCATCCTGACACTCTGCAGCTCCTACATGGAAGTGCCCACCTACCTCAACTTCAAGGCCATGAACCACATGGTGAGGCCGGGTGTGGGGCTGGCCAGCTGCTGGTCACTGGTGGGGCCAACCCTTCCTCCCTGTGCTGAGTGTTGTCAGGCAGGGGTCGTGGGAGGAGAGTCTGTGCGAGGGAGGGACGGAGGGATGGACGCAGGAGGAAGCATGGAAGGGGTCAGCGTAAAGTCAGACCACGCAGGCAGCCAGGCAAGCCTGTGGCGGGTGGGTACGACAGCTTGATCCCAGGAGGGGCCTTGAGGAAGACCCGCATAGCAGCGATATTTGCTCTCGACTGCTGGCTAACCACTCACCCCTCAATGAGGGCCTTGAAAGAACAAGCATTGGTTATCTCGCCTGCTCCTGAGGGTTGGGACTTGGGAGGGGCTCAGTGGGCTGTTTGAACACTTGGAGTGAGCTTTCATAAAAGCTGGAGCTGAGGCTTCATGCTCCAAGATGCATGTCAGTCTGAACGTCCACCTCCAGAATGCCCACTCACGTGGACTATGGCCCTTGGCCTCTTGGCCTTTCACTGGCCTCTACAGTGGTGCCTTGAAACACCTCGGGCCATGGCTGAACTCCCAGGGTGAACATCTGAGATGGAATGAGGCAGGAGGGAGTGGCATGACTTTTAGTTTTAGTTCTGGGGTCATACACAGTGGTGCTCGGTACTGGGTGCTCAGTGGTACTCCTGGCTCAGGGGACTACATGGATACAGGGATGTAAACACATGGTCATGCACAAGGCAAGCACTTTACTCACTGTACTGTCTCTCTGATTCCCAGTATATATTTTTTTTAACAGTTTTTGGGCAGTCACACTCTCCTCTGCCACACTCTAGCTAGGAAGTTTGTGGCTAAAATCAACACCCCCAGACTGCATACTCTGCACTGGATGAGTGGTGTGTGTGTGTGTGTGTGTGTGTGTGTGTGTGTGTGTGTGTGTGTGTCCATTGTTGTTTGGAAGCTGCTTGCATGCTTCCCAGCTTTTCAGGGTGAGGTGGTTCCCATCTGCCTTGACCCTGCTCTGAAGGAGGGCAAAGGTCTGACTTGCTGCCAGCTCAGGGACTAGCACCCCTGCCTGGTGCAAGTGCTTATGACCACACACACAGATGGGCTCGCAATTCTGTTGCAGAATTATCTCCCCAGCCAAGAAGGCACAGCCCACAGCCAGTTCATCAAGATGATGATCATCTTATCCATCGCCTTTGTTGCTGTTCTCATCCTGAAGGTGAGTGGCCACTGGCCATGACTCCAGGAGGGACAGGGCTGCCCTTAGCCTCCTTCCTGCTTTGAACTTCTTCTTCCTGTCCCCCCCACACTGTTTTCCTGACCCCCTCTGGGATCCCTGGGTGGATCAGTGGGAGATTGCCATGTATTCAGGGTTCAGGGACATGCAGAGAGGCCTGTCATACGCACTGGGAGGAGGCCAGCAGGTTTCTGGGACTGGAGTCTCACCAGGCAGGGCCCGGGTCCCTTGCTTCGTCCACAGCAGTTCTGTGTGATTCACCCGGGGTCCTGCAGTAGTGGTGAAGGTTGAGAAGGAAGGAGGGCTGATGTCGGTCTTCTCTGGGGAGTGGGTGACCCGTGGGATGAATCTGGTCTCAGATCCCTGTTCTTGTAGATGGAGAGTACATGCAGAGCTGCACAGCGGAGAAGGAGGAGGAGGAGGAGGAGGAGGAGGAGGAGGAGGAGGAGGAGAAAGAGGAATAGAAGGGGGGAAGAGGAGGAGGAGGAGGAGGAAGAGAAAGAAGAGTGGGGAGGAAGAGGAGGCGGGGAGGCGGCGGCAGGAAAATGACTGACAGAGGGAACTTGGGGCATTGAGCTTAAACAAGAGATGACCCAGTTGCACAGTCACAAGACCTACAATCGCAAGAGCCCATTGCCAAGCCCAGTGGCATCTTTCAGGGCATTGGGTGGGATTCTTGAGTCACCCTGTGGAAGGGGTTTTGAACCTTCACACTGGCCAATGCCTCTGAGCCCAGGACAGGGCCTCTACCATCAGCCCTTTCCTGACTGTGGAGGACTGTCCACTCCTGGGAGCTTTGATTAGCTACAGGCAAGCAGGAAGAAGTCTTCAGTCCTGCCAACACCCTCAGGAGGTCATGAGTTCCTCGTTATTGGGAGTAGACAATCAGGGTTCATTGAACTATTTCATCAACGTGGTCCAGAACCTGGAAAAGGCCCTTCCTGGACTGAGTTCTCGGGACTGGGGAAAGGATAGTGTCCAGGAGTGACAGGGGATCTGAGTTGGCTGCTGCCTACTGGGGAGAGCTGGGGCACCCCAGGAAACCCTGATGCTTGTGCCTGAGTGAGGGGAATGGATGGTCGACACAGCCTAATCCGACCCCTTCCCAGGTCTACATGTTCAAGTGTGTGTGGCGATGCTACAGACTCATCAAATTCATGAACTCTGATGAGGAGAGGAGCAGGAACCTGCAGAAGGTGAGCCTGGCTGGGCATGGGGGCGGGGGAGGGAGGAGAGAGGGGCGGAAATCCCCACCCCACCCCTCACCAACTACTATGCACTGTGCCATGTGGCAAGCCCTGCTTCGTCCCATGCCACCCACTGTGCCATGTGGACAAGTTTCCCTCCCTGGCTGGTCATTGGGCAAAGGTGAGGTGCATCTCTTTCCGCTCCTTAGTCCAGGGTTCTAGTCATTTGTTCCTGCTTTGATCCATTTCTGCCCCTCACTCTTTTCTGACTTTATATTCAACCCTTAAGGTGCAAAGGAAATTAAGACAGCCCCCCTCCACCGGCCTCAAGGATTGTGTGGTCCAGAGGAAATTAGGGCCTGAAGAGCCAGTTACAATATTGGGTGAAGCCTGAAGGTCATTGGAACAAGAGGAGGCAGTGGGCTGTATTTAGGGAAGAGGGATGAGGGGCACTATGAAGCATCAGATTGACATGAGAGGTGGTCCAGAGAGGCAGCACAGTGGGTAAGGCACTTGCCTTGCACACCTCTGGTATCATTTGCTCTTTGGCACCATATCTGGTCGCCCAAGCATCACCAGGAGTGATCCTTGAGCACAAATCCAGGAGTTAATCATGAGCATTTCTGGGTGAGCACCATCCCCCATCCCCCTGAATAAACTGACAACAAAGAAATGAGAGAGGAAGTGCAGCTATGGCTCACTTTACTCGTCTGTAAAAAGGATGTTGGATGAATCTTGTTCTTTTGGTTGTAAGTGGCAGAAACTCAAGTCCATCATATGGATTTGTGGATGGGGTGGGAAGAACACACATAGTGGTGCTCGGGGATCACTCCTGGTGGGGCTTCAGGGATCATTTGTGATACTAGGGATCTAATCTGGGTCATCCATGTGCAAGTCAAATTTCCTACCTACTGTACTACCACTCTGGCCCCAAGTCTCTGAGATTTCAGTTCAGCATGGCTGCGTTCTGATGCCAGCCTGTGAGTAACGTCCCCTGGCAGCTCTCCGTTCACCTTTCCTTGGTCTTGGTCTTCCAGGCAGTCTTACCTTTCTAGGAGACATTGAGCAGCTCATATCCCTTGGCTGCCGTCTGCCATCTGAGCAATGCCACAGAAAACAAGAGTTCAGAAAGCTTGTCTCATTTAGACCAGCTTGGACCCCTGATCACTCCCAGACCAAGGGAGACCTTGATGGGGTGGGATTTCAGGCCCAGTGGTCCCTTTCTGGATCTGTGCAATGGCATCAGCTCCCCTGAAGGCACATACGTTGAATATTTTCCAGGGAGAAGGTAACCTAATGACCAGAGCGAGGAGCCTGGTGCAGAACTGGCAGGGTCTGCTGTGAGCTCAGCATGGAGAGAGCACCTGACCACGACCCGTGATGTGGGTTCACGGTCCTTCCATCAGTCCTCATTGACCCTCTCTCTGTCCCTCCCAGGTGCACCTGCCGTCTTATGAGGAAGCCCTGACTCTGCCGTACAAGACTCCAGAGGGGGGCCCAGCACCGCCCCCGTACTCCGAGGTGTGATGTCCACCAGGCCCAGCCCCAGTGCTGGAAGGGGCAGAGCTGCCTCACAACCTGCTTCTTTGCTTTGGGAGCCCGTGGCCGGGAAAGCCACCTGGCTGACTGTAGGGCAGTTGTTTGTGTCCACCTCCCTGGCTTTTCTCTCGGGTCTTGGGAGATGCTCACAATTGGATCAACCCTTTAGGCTGAACACCTCCTTTGGGTGTCTCACAAATTCAGTCCAATAGCACCTGGCTTATTTTGATTAGCTCTGACGTTTGTCTCGAGGACTAGCCAAAGTCAGTAAGTTTGGTTAAACAATTATCAGCTTTGATCAGTTTAACCAAGTGATTAGTAGATCAAAAATACACTTATCAGTTTAATAAAGTGATTTGGTTAAGCAACAGACCATTGCATTGGTTTCTACATGGCAACTTAGCCAAGTTTCATCAGTTAGTCCTTCACACCCTTCATCCACTTACCCATCCATCCATCCATCCATCCATCCATCCATCCATCCACTCACCTCTCCATCTACTCTCCTATCCATCATCCATCCAAATTCTTCTCAAAATTTGCTCAGTGATCAAGCCAACAAACTATCAAAGGTCAAGTTAGCATAGAGATAAAATTCAATAATAATGATAATAATAATACTGAGCAATCCAAACCATCCCCATCGATCGAATCTAGTAACTGGCTAGCTCTCTGGTACTTCTGAGTGACTGAACAATCGTAAATTCAAATGAAAATAGAGTCTGACAATGGCCAAGCTGCCATCCCATGGTTAGTTCCAGGACACAGCCACCATTTCCATCCTCAGACAGACCCTGAAAACATGCCAATATTTCATGAAAGTGTCCTCATTGACAGTCCCTATACTGTCACACAGCGCTGGGCTCCGAGATAGTCCCTCAGACGCAGGTGGTCATCGCTAGTACAGCTGTCGCTCTCTTGCCCAGGCCAGGCCCCCTGTCTCCAGTTTCTTTGTAGGCTATTTGAACTGCCTGAGGTGTGCAGTCAAGCAGAAATTCAGCCTGAAATCAGCAAATTTGTGTGTTGGACTAAATCCACAGTTGCACCAGAACAAGAGGCAAACTCTTTATGGGTGCAAAGTCTGCCACAAGGCTCTTGGTGGTATAGAATGGAGGATTTGGTTCCATCACCTCCTCTTTGGCCTGCTTCCCTGTGTGCCGGCACTTCTGATGGTGCTCAGAGGCAGAGACTGGACCCTGAAGGCTGGTTCAGAGGCCTGCAAGGGGGCTCAGAGGCAGAAGGCTTTGTAGGAGGACCCCCCAATACCCACTATGTATTTGCTTTGTCTGTGATGGGGAGAGTTTAAATAAAGCAGCAATGTGCTTCTATCTGGCTGGTGTGGTTCCTAGGATAGCTGGGGGTGATCTTGGGATTTATCTTCTGCCTTCATTTCCCCCAACACACACACACACACACTCATATACACATGCACAAACACACTTCCACACACGTGCACACATACAGATAAACACAGACACAGACACAAACACATGAACCCACACATACATGTTTACCTAAGCACACATACACACATGTACATGCAAACAACACAAACATGCACCCATATGCACACACTCACAGACACACCTGCCACATGGACACACAACACATGCATACACATACACAAACATATGCATCGTGAGTTGATACTGCCCCTGACAGTATTATGGGGTAACCACAAACTGCAAGGAGCTGATGTTTCCCGGACGAAGCCTGAACAGACTTGCCCAGAGAACAACCGCTTGGGTCAGGTTTTACAGTGGGTGCTGGGGTTGATGTGACTGGATCGGACTTACTCTAGTTGTTCCAAGTTTGTGGCAGGGCAGGAAGACTCCATAAATGACTATAGTAATCTATGGCCATGGACAGCCTGGGAAGGCTTCTTGGAGGAGGTGTAACCCAGACTCAAAGTGAAAGGTGTCAACATGGTGTCACTCAGACTGAAAGTTAGCAAGCGGGGAAGGGAGGTTTCAGCCTGGGCTCCAGGGAGGGCAGGGCGAGGAGCTAGGGCTGGTGGCTCAGAGTGGCTGTACCTGGGAAGGGGAAGTGGCTAAGCCTTGGGGTCTTGGCTAAGAACAGTCTTTGCACTTACGGTCTCATTGGCTGCAAGTCTGACTCACCCCAGGCAAGAAAGCAAAAAAAGGAGAGGGCCATAAGTAACAGAAACCTAGCGAACCAAGGTGTGTGTGTGTGTGTGTGTGTGTGTGTGTGTGTGTGTGTGTGTGTGTGTACGCGTGCATGCATGCATACATGTGTGTGTATGTGCCTCTCTACAGTGGTTCTGATGCTTTTTGACCCACATAAATGGGAAGTCCAGAGATTTCTGGCTTTAGGCATGGTTGGGCCTAGAAATCAAACTTTTTAATAATCGATTTTTCTTTTCGTCTCGTGCCTTCTGCTGCTGGACACGTGGAGCTGCAGAGGGGCTGCCTGGGAGGAAAGTGAGCAGGGTCTGAAGCGGGATGTCCAGGGCTCTGGGTCTCCCCTAAAGAGGCCCACAGGGGGCCCTGGTGTCTGTCTGAGCAGCGCCTTGCAGAGCTTTGTAGGACGTCACAGGCCAGCTCCGGGTTCTAGGGAGGACGAGATGGAACGGTGGGGACCCGGCAGAGAGCCAGGCAGGTGTGGGGCAGAGCTGGGCTGGGCTCGCTGTCTGCCTTCCAGGATGCTTCTCGTGCGGACAGCGGATTTCTGTAATCAGCCACCTTCCCATCAGCTCCCCCAAGACAGCTTCACACACAGTGAAGTGTGGTGATGCTCACATGAGGGCCAGCAGGCTCCTACCGCACAGGGGGGAATCGAGGTCCAGAGACAGCAAGCTCCTGTCTTGGGGTTACACAGCAGCTGGGGTTAGACTCCGTGCCTTTGTTCTCTCCTCGGAGCAGAGGCTGCTGAGAGGAATCCAGAGACTGTGAACATTAGCTTCTTGTGAAGCGGGCCCCAGAGGGAATCCCACCTAGTGGGGATTAAGGTGAGGGGCATAGGCGGAGGAGCTGGCCCCTGTCTCCATGAAGAGGGACCAAGGGGGCCCTGCCTGTGTGTCCCGAGAACCGCTGCCCGCTCCCTCTGGCCTGGCCGTGGGCCGAGGAACAGACAGAGATGTATAGCAGGATTGTGTCCTGCGGCCAGGCTGCCGGCAGGGCCTGCGAGGCACAGGAAATAGCTGGGTTTGGGGAAGTCATGGGGCTTGGCCAAGCCAGCTCTGCATCGCTGGGCAGCCCCTGCGGGCCCCCATCAATGCCCCATTTGAGATGCACACAGGGGTCCTTTGATATGCTGGCAGTTTGGACCCACTGAGAGGGCCTGTTTGGGTTAAATGCCCAGAAAGAAGGTGGGGGGGGGGGAGCGGGGGAGAGGGGGCTGCATGGGCCAGGCAGGTGGGGGCACTGGAGGGGCTGAGGTGGGGAGGGAATGGGAGTCTGCAGCATCAGACTAGGTCACTGAGGTAGGGCCTCAGTTTCCCAGGGCTGGATGGAAGCCGAAGGATCCTCGGATCTGGTGGGACCTTCAGTGCCTTTGTGCATGCCCGTTGCCCCATGCCATGTGCTGTGCAGGGAAGATCCTGGGCTGGCATGAGCAACCCCACGGCCAGAACCGAGTGGGGGTCTGCACCCATCAGTCTGGCTGGAGCCTGTGCTCGTCACCAGCTGTGGCTGGCCTCAGTGGCCGCAGGAAGCTTCCAGTGTTCTGTCAGTTCACTGCTGGGGGCTGGAATCCATGTGCTCTAAGGAATGTGGAGACTTAGGGGTTTTTTTCCCAGCAGAAGAATCTGCTGGGGGTACATGAGGGTGACCTTCAGGTCACTGAACATGGTTCGCCTGGAGACCCACTCACTCTCTGAGCCAAATGTGGGATCTGAGGGGATAGTGAGGTGTCCCCCCTCCCAAGACAGAATTCACGCTTCATGGGGGAGGGAAGACAAAATTGATGGTTTACCTGCAGCAGGATCATCTGTAGGGCTTAGATAGACAGATTCTCTGGGTCTGGCTGTCTGGAACTTTTTATTTCCTCTTCCTTATCCTCCTCCTCCTCCTCCTCCCCTCCTCCTCCTCCTCCAACTCCTCCTCCTCCTCTTCTTCTTCTTCTTCTTCTTCCTCTTCCTCTTCCTCTTCCTCTTCCTCTTCCTCTTCCTCTTCTTCTTCTTCTTCTTCTTCTTCTTCTTCTTCTTCTTCTTCTTCTTCTTCTTCTTCTTCTTCTTCTTCCCTCTTCCCTCCTCCTCCCCTCCTCCTCCTCCTTCCCTCCTCCTCCTCCTCCTTCCCTCCTCCTCCTCCTCCTTCCCTCCTCCTCCTCCTCCTCCTCCTCCTCCTCCTCCTCCTCCTCCTCCTCCTCTATATGTGGCATTGCTCAGGACTGTACAGCCAAGAATGGAAACTTGGGGTGTTCATCCACAGCCCTCCCTCTTGGTCGAGCTTTGCCCTGGCCATTCTAAGTCCACACACCACCTTGCTCCTGACCAGCGTGCACAGGAACTGTAGCTATAACTGGAGTGAACTCAGAGGTGGGCTGCAGGGCCCTGGGTGAGGGCCCAAATGGCTCTACAGGGAGGTCCTGCCTACACATGCTCACTACCTCTGGCAGAGTGATGAACAGTTGGAGGGACCCCATGAGATGCCCGGCCTGCAAGGCTTCCTGCATGATGACCTCTCTGCTTGAGTGGGTTAGGGGATCAGGAAGGGAGGGGGAGGTCTCCGTGACCCGTGAGCTTCCTTCAGAGCCCGAGATTCCAGATTCATCTTTCCTCCCAGGTAAAGATGCTTTATTGGCCACACACTCTGCTATGTGCCAGTGCCAATGTGGCCTTGTGTGCCTTGCAGGCTGGCATCGTCTGGAGAGGTGAGTCACTGAGAGCAGTGAGTGGGCAGCCCTGCCACAGAGCAAGACAAACTGCTCTGAGAAGAAAGAGGTGGGGCGAGAAAGAGGTGGGCAGGGGCACGGAAAAAGTAACAAGCAAAGTCAAAGAGCTGTTGACTCTTTGTAGCAACCAACTTCAAACACTCAGGGCAAGTTGAAATGTCTTTTTTCTTTTTATTTAGATTTTTATTAGTGAAACACCATGAGGTACAGTTGTAGATTTACACATTTTTGTGCTTGGGTTTCAGTTATACAATGATCGAGTACCCATCCCTCCACCAGTGCCCATTCTCCACCACCACTGATCCCAGTATCCTTCCCACCCCCCATCCCCCCATCCCATCCTGCCTCTGTGGCAGGGCATTCCCCTTTGTTCTTTCTCTCCTTTTGGGTGCTGTGGTTTGCAAAAGAGGCATTGAGTGGCAATCATGTTTGGTCTAGAGTCTACTCTCAGCACATATCTCCCATCCTGGAAGGATCCTCCCAACACCCTTTATTTGGTCCTCCCTTCTCTATCTGAGCTGCCTTTTCCCCCAGCATTTGTGGCTGGCCTCCAAGTCATGAAGTAAACCTCCTGGTACTTAAAACCTGGTACTATGCTATTATTGGGTGTTAGTCTCCTGTTTTGTTACTTTATGTTCCCCAGATGAATGCAATCTTTCTATGTCTGTCCCTCTCTTTCTGACTCATTTCGCCTAGCATGATACTTTCCATGTAGTACCACTTGTATATAAATTTCATGGAAATCTTTCTTATTAAATTTTATGAGCTATAGCCTGGCAGTGCTCAGTGGCTGTCCCAGTGGTGCCCAGTGGACCATGGAATGCCCAGGATGGAACCCAGGATGGAACCCAGGGCTCCTTCCACTTGCTCCAGCTTTTTGCACTGTTTCTCAGCCCCTAAGTTTGAATTTACATTTAAAGGTAATACATGACCCTGACCGAAATGATTTTCTCCGGGGCTTGGGAGAGAGGGTCTCTGCTCACTGCATGCCCACCTAACTCCCTGACGTTGAGTAGATTGACCTCTCTGACACCGAGTAGAGCCAGGGGATATGCACTCCCACTGTGCTAGGAGGAGAGCTCGACTGTATCCCATGCGTGTGGCTGGAGATGGATTTGGAGATGGTGAGGCAGAGACAGGCAGAATGGGGAGCATCTGGGCAGGGCAGCGCCTGTCCACCACCTGATCCTGTCAATCACAGGAGAAAACCACCCTGCTAAGCTTCTGGAGCTGGTGGTTTGCTTGTCTCTCTGCCACTTAGTCTGGCTGGACTCCCGCAGAAGGCACTGCAAAATGACCAAAGCCACAGGCAGCGCTAGGACATTTCACTCTCAATTATTTTGTGACGTTGGCATGAAGATCCTGACCTAACAGACACGAAACAGAGTTACAGAAGCATCTATTTGTGTTCCTACCAACAGTGGGGCGAAGTTCCCTTTGCCGCTCCATCCCGCCAGCACTTCTTGTTTCC